AGTTTCTAGATAATTGCAATTGTTTTTATATCTCTCGAAACCTGTGAGCCATTTGAGTCTAAATAATTTACTTGGATATATGAACGTCAAATTACTGAAAAACATATTTGTCAATTTATACTATTTCATGAAAACTAGACATTAAATGCTCTCTTAACATATAAAATATTAATAATTATCTATGTATTCATCAGGAAAATAAGTAATTTGATCGTAATCGATCATTTTGTCTATCATCGCCGAGTTTGTCTGTCCGATGCGTTTCTATTTTTCGTCATATTCAGTATGTCTGTGTGATTTCTGTGGAGTTTTTAAGTTCTACTTCATACGGTCATGAGGGTGCGTATGGTGGATTAACTCCTCAAACTGGACTTCACTAAAATCGCTGTCACACTAATGATAGTAAAATGTCAAAACCCGTCTGACAGGCCAACCTTGTCAGGATTTCAAGACCAGAATGATAGTTAACTACCAACTAACACAATATTCTTGACGAACACATAGTAAACACATAAAATATGTTTTGTGGGTGTGTGTAAAATTGTTATTTTGTTATACTCTTATTATTTTATGTGTAGTTTTCATAAAAGTGTATAAATTGATTAATATATTTCTATGGGATATTTGCTGTACATCCAAGTGATTTATTTGGACTCAAAGGTAGGTTTCGAAAGATAAAACAATAATTGCATTTGTCGCTCCGAGTGATTGACTGCTTTTAGTTTTCCTTTGGGATATGTTTTCCAATGTATTTCATTCTGATAATTTTCCCTCTTTCTAGACCATTGAAACGTTAATCGCAGTTTAATTAAATGTCCATCTAGCCTCGTTTTAATGGCTCTATTATTAATTTGCACGGCTGGCCTATACCTCTATGCATTTCAGGCAAATAGAAGGATTTTATTAAAAACCGTCGAACGTCCGGGCCTTTGCGACAGTTTCAATAAATAATGGTTTTGTTTAATCTTTGTTTAATTGTGTTTTATGTTTATTCCTAGAATGACCAGTTTTTTCTTTTTTGAATATCGTAAATAGTACTTTGTCTAAGGGCATTAAAACTAGCTAATTGGTAATGTGTTGAATAATTTTTAAAGCAGATATAAGCTTCTGCGCTTTATCATCATAAAATTTCAGTATTGCTTCTGAACTACCGAAAATAGGGGAACATGTTTTTTGCGTTTCAGACCTTTCTGAATATATTTGGTTCCGTGTCTATCGGTCTCTTGTCAATTCATTGTAGTCTGCAAAATTCCGAAAACATGAGATCAATTTTTATGATATTTTCAGAGATTTGTGCAGGTTGGTTTCGAGAGAGTCTACTATGAATTTCATCACAATAGGTTCAACGGACACCCGTAAACGTAAAATCCTGTACACAGCTGTATCTCTAAAATCATTCCTCGGATTATTATGTAATTTTCAGGGATTATGCGGGTTGCTTTCTAGATGAAATTATATGAATTTTATTCCAAACGGAACAACTATGTCGAAGCTATAAACTTGGCAGACGGTTTTTCATATCACTTTTTATAACATCTGTACCTACATTATCAAAAAGTGTCTGTGCTTGTAATTTAAGAAATATTTACACTATGATTTTTTTTTACTATTGCTAACTAATTTCTCGGAAAAAACGTGTATCGTTTAAAACACTACAGTGTATTTAGCATGCGTGTTGTACATGTTGGAGAGTCCGATCTATTGGGTTGTCCGGAAAATAATGCAGGATTTTAAGTTTTCATTTAAAAAAATCTATATAAAATATTCTGTTTACGTTTACAGGATTACTCATTTGTATGAATGTCAACACTTATTAATCCTCTTCCAAATGATATTGTTTGNTGATTAAAGAACATTGCTTTAAAGTAACTAGTTTCTTTTTTTTTGTTTAATACCAAAATCCTGCATTATTTTCCGGACAACCCAATATTATGAAAGCCGCTAGGTTATCAAAGCCGGAATAAAATAAGGTTGCTCCTTTTATTCGAATAAAGAGGTGAAAAAAGCGAGGAAGATTGAAACGAAATTCAGCCGTCGGATCGAGCACACCCGTCGTTAACCATATACTTCTCAATTCATTTTACTTATTTCTTTCTTTCTTTATTTTTTGTGGATAAATTCATCAAAATAGCTGTAAAGAAGAGAACTGACGTGAGGTTCGGTTTGTAACGTTAGAACGACACAGTCAGAATAACTCCTGATTACCTGCTACTGTCAAAAATGGATTTGATTGATAAGTAAAAAGTTTGGTAAAAACAACTTGGAAAAAATGCTTGATTTCTTTACATCAGCCTAAGGTAATAAACTAGATTCACTAATTTTGTGGTCCGCTTGACCAATTTATATATTACAATTAATTAAGGTTTTTAGTTGAGATAAAAAAGTTAATGGCACGAGCGGGATTCGAACCCACGATCTTCGTCTTGATACGCTGCTGCTCTACCACTTGAGCTATCGTGACCTCGATCCACTCGGACACCAACTTCCCATCTCAACCCCACCTTTTATATATTTCCTCTTTTTTGCCATTTTTCAAATGTCGTGTAATCGGATTGGATTCTCGACGACAAATGAAATGGCCACGGAGAGCTTTAGTGAAGTATACTTCATGTACATTCATTAAATTCACTAATTTCGTGGTCCACTTGACCAATTAATATATTACACTTAGTTAAGGTTTTTTAGCTGAGATAAACTTAGGAGTTAGAACTAAAGCTCTAAAAACCTTAATTAATTGTAATAAACTAGATTCAATTTATCACCAACCAATAAAACATAACTATCGTTATTCTTTCTTAGAAAGAACATGGTTGTAGAACGAAAACTTAGCATTGTATTAATTGGAAAACAATTAACCCGCTAATTACTAGGTTGAATAATTAATTTGTTCGTTTAGAAATGATTAATAGTGTCTGCTCGAATAGGCGCTAATGACCGACAGTTACGCAACACTCAGAAATTTTGCAGGCTTAGTATTTCTTTACATTTGCCACCTTTATGTGTTTAAAAACAAAACATTTTACATTATTAACGGTATTAATTTAATGGTTCAAACCAAACAACATCACGTAATAAATTCAAAATCAAGTATCTTTGAGGCAGCTCTAATGCCGACAAGTCAAGCACTTACGCAATAATGACAAATCTTGCGGATTTTGCCCATGTTAGAACTGTGACAACTAGCCGATTTAAATCAAACCTATTGTTTATTTAATTAAATGATATACATCAAACAAAAAAATTGCTGTTTACTTAGCCTTACTACTCCACAGTCATACATTCCAAAATTTAATAACTCGTTTTTTAAATAAATAGTTTTAGTTATAATTCTTTATTTATTTAATTATTTATTTTTTGTTGACGTTCGTTTAAAATTGTCGCTGTAGAATAATTTATGTTATGGTATTTTTAATTTAGTGACCTTACGTGATCTTGTGAAATGTCCAACAAGCTCTTTCAGTCCTATCGATCGGACTTCTTCTCTTTTAAAAAAATATATTTTCAGTACCATGGCCAACAAAACAAAATAAAAATGTACAGTTAGAAAATGGAAATATGAAAAGATTTACGTTTAAACAAGGGTCGATTAATAACGAATCTGAAAACAAACGAGTAGGAATGGTAGAGGAGGTTCACTCGACCGTTCCCATTCCTGGGAGGTAAATATTTCCCAGTAATAAAATAAAGGAAAATGCGTCTCCGTTAGATATGATATGTGGATCGTTCGCGCGTATTATGGTATTGTTTATCCAACTATTCCGTCCTAGGGGTAGTACGTGGGAGGGGAAAGTGGTGTTTTGGACCGAGTCCACTTCCCTTTCCAAAGCCAGCTCTTGCTTTTTTGGTATATATATATCGGGCTCACTTTCTTTATTACAGCTAATAAACCATTAATCTTTCCAAGACGACAGTATTGTCCGAGCGGAGAAAAAAAACTATAATAAATATTAGGGAAAATATAGTCAAAAATTAAAATTGTGTGGTACAAAAGTTTGACTCAAAAGAACATTATAGCCAAAACTAAGTATATTGAAGTTTACACGTCTTAATAAGTAGATATATTTTACGCAATGGATGAAATTGCACTGTCACAACAAAAGATTTTTGTTATACGCCAATTAACAAAGCAAAGGTCAGAGCGTTGACAGAGTTCATCATTGTAAGGGTTCAGGTATCAAATCTTAGCGCTCCTGAGTACAAACAAGCTTATTTGTCAATGAAAATGGAACCCCTGTGACTTCTGCTGTTGCAAATCACGCTTTAAACAATTACTACATCATTTCCTCAACTATTTCTTGATAAACGACTTACGTATAAAGCATTTTTACTTTTTTGAGAATTCCAAAACGAATTCATAGTAAATGAGGGTAGATGGGCTTAGTGAACAAACTGTTAGTACATCGAAAATACATTAAATTTGATAAGTTTAATATTAATGTTTAAATCCTGATAGAGAGATAATCATTGCTTGAATTTATTGTTAAAGATTAAAAACTTAAAAATTTATTTTATTTTCCACCAGAGAAAGCAATGTACTCATCAGGAAAACACTTACTAACGTATTTCATTGAGGTTTGAAGTGTGAAAAAAAATTGCGTGCGACCACGTTTTCAATCTCTTTTTATCAGGTCCAAATGCTGCCGGCGTGAAAAATCCCTCCCACGTCCAACGTATCCCTTGTAATTCGTTTACGTACTGATCAGATCTCGACAGTCTGAATATCCCCATTAAATACGAGTGGAGTTGATGAGACGAAACGAAAATCAAAGCTGACACTTGTCCGAACTTCCAAATTACGATAACAAATTCAGCTAGCTTTGATCTCCCCCTAGTGAGTTTCTCCATGGCCATTAGGGAGACGGAACCGTTATAAACCCGACTGGACGTATTACCAACCCAACGGTATGGGATCTGGTCGTGTTGTGGTAGCATGAAAATAATATACTCTTTGTATATCAGCCTGATTAAAAATTGGCTAAAGTTTGTATGCCATGTTACAGGGATTGCAGAGTCGTCAGGGACCTCCAGACGTCCAAATCGAAAGGATATGGTTTTGTTTCATTCGTCAAAAAAGCTGTAAGTAATATTCACTACTTTATTCCCAATTTCTATATGATACTATACACATTAAATGCAGTGTAGTTTCACAATTGAAAGACAATTGAATGATAAATCTACAAAGTGCTTACCAATGTTAAAAAATAAGATTTACAGTATCTTACAATAGATGATTATGGTTTGATCATCCTATATTATTTTAAATTTGTATGAAATAGCTTTTAAGCCGGGAACACACTTACCCTGATGCAACGCTATCCAATGCTACCGACGCCTTGTCTCGTTTTGGTAGGGTGTGCACATCCATGCGACGTCAAGCGCACGCCACGTTGTCACACAGCTTGTAACACAATAATCACTATCACAATAGCAACGCCTTTTTTGTTCTTAATGCACTATTTTGAGGAAAACCTTGTAATAAATTGTTAGTTAAATTTTATGAGCACAACCATGTAATAAATTGTTTGTTAAACTTAATTGTTTTAAATAAAGTTATTCCGATATGTTGATATTTTTCTTCCTAACCATCATAATTAAATAATTTTTATAAAGACTTATGAATTTTTGATCTCGTTTAATTTAAATAAAATAAGAATGTTGTAATTGATATAACGACAAAATTACATATACTTAGTTTGAAATAAACTGCAAAAAAAATATGAGTGTTCTGTCTGAAGCTATTCGACGAAAATGGTGTAATTGTATGAGTAAAACCATGAAATAAATTGTAAGTTAAATTTTATGAACAAAACCGTGTAATAAATTGTTAGTTAAATTTATTATATCAACAAAATGGTATTCCGGTGATTTTTTTTTTTTTTGTTTGTTTTGCTGGGGCTTCCGACATCTAGGTCATTTCAGCCCCCACTAAGTCTATATTCTATACACGTCCATACAAATAAATACGTTTATACACTTAAATACATCCATACAGTACACTCATTCCGTTTGGTCGGTGGAGTACTTGATATTCCTCCACCGACCTACACTTAAAATAAACTAGATTGGGGTCGATGGGGTACTTTTATAAATATTCCGCCATCGACCCCGAACACACACTCACCCGCTTTCATCGTTCGAGGGGCGATGATGACGTTATATTCACCCTCACCCCTCGCCATTCACGCTAATAAATACATGCACACAGACAAAACATATAGACACATAACACATAAGACATACTATATACAATAAAAAAAAAACAATTTCCCCTAAAAAGCGTAACAGGGGACTCTGAAACTCGCTACCGTGCTCGAGGACTCTTCTTAAATCCGGCGGCATGCCTACACGCTCTCTGTATGGAGCCAAGGCATGACACGCTTCTATTATGTGGGACACATCGAGCAACCTTTCTCTGCATAAGTGGCACCTGCCCGGGCTTTGGCCCAAAAGCAGGTGCCCATGTGTCAACCGAGTATGGCCTCAGTCGGGTGAGGACGATCCCTCGTCTCCTGCTCAGATTCTCTGAGGGCCATCTACAGGTCGTGCTCTTGACTCCCAAGAGTCTCTCCGACGACCCCGCTCACTGACGCTGCCATCTTTCTTTTATCATATTTTTAACTGCGTGTTTAGTATTCCGGTGTTTTGATCAATTTTCTACCAAACTATTAAAATTAATTCTTTTAAATAAAAACAAATGAATTTTTGATTTCGCCAATTTTTTACCAAATTTTTCATCAGTTTTTGATTTCGGTTAAATTGGTTTACACTAAAATAAGTAAGTAAAGTATGTTGTAATTAATATAACGACAATAGTGCATGTAGTTTGAATAAAAATGTGAGCGTCTGGTTCTTTTGTCTTCGACTGTGCTCCATGCTACCCGACGAAAATCAGGCAGTGGGGATCGCAGAGCGTAGAGTGGGGTAGCGTTGCATAGCAGCGGGCAGATGTGCACTTGGGTAGTACAATCTTACGGAAAATTGGACTTCGGATTTGCGTCGCTTAGCGTTGCATCGGGAAAGTGTGTTCCCAGCTTTATTCGTTTTCCCCCCCAAACATTATCCATTTTCATTCAAATTCATTCATTTCACTATTATAATACACTTTTTCATAGCATTTATACTTTTGTTCTAGTACTAGTTATCATAAGAATGTACAAAATTGAACATAAAAAATGAAGATTTAACAATTTATTTCAGGCCTATCTTGTAATTTAAGCTGTTTTGTTCTTTCCGATCAGTTTTTTCACCAACACACTGAGTCCACTATGGAAGATGATGAGAAGCAGAAACGCGTCTGATAGAGATAATGGCTCATATCCTCGTAACAGGAATTCAGTATTTTTGGCTTTAACACTCCTGTTTTCTCAATCAGGCTTGGGACTGGCGTTGGTGGAGTTGAAAAAAATTTTTTTTAGTAATTAACAGAAACAAACAATCAGAAATATAAAAAACGATGGACTATAACTATAAGTGAAAAAGAATAAGCTTATAAAGTAGAAAATATAAGTTAAATTTAAAGTCAGACTGTTTTCTGCTTTTATGTGCACGCAGCCCAGCTCGTGTCCATAATTCTGAAGGCTCGAGCTATTGACTTTGTCTATTTCACAACATGTTTTTTGTATCCTTTCTCGTAATTCCTTCTGTAGATAATCTATGGGTTGTAAGGTTCCATAAATTTTATTAGATAAAGGAATCGAATGGGAGTAAATCAGGTGAACGTGGTAGCCAAAGAACATGATCTCCGTTCGCTACCCACCGTTTAGGCAACCAGCGATCCAAGAAACACTTTACTACGTTGGAATTTTGAGCAGGATATCCATCGACCTGGAGCCACGCATGTCGTCAAAATATTCGAGGAGATGTCTCTCAAAAATGCCACGAACCTCATATTAACCCGCACTTAAAGTTTGGCAGTGAAAATAAAAGCTAGAAAGACTTAACCTCTGAACTATCATTAAACAAGTAATATCGAGAATTCGTTGATCAATTTCAATTAAATAAAATCCATTTTTCGCAAAAAATAACTTTTTGAAAAACAAAAATCTAAAAGCTAAAATTGTCTGTGATACCAGTAGCTGTAGAAGAAGAAAAAAAAGCTTTTCTTTAAACATAATGCATTAAAAAATTACGGGAGTAGAATTTTCTTGTTATCTTCCCTTGTTACAGTAAAAATGGCTGGTTCCTATGAAATGGACATTGGTTATAGGATAAACATTCAACTTGCAATTTTAGTCCACTACGTAAATTTATATAAAAATATAGTGATTGATTATTTATTGATGCTTTACTTTCAAAACTAAAAGATTCAAAATGAAATTACCCCGACCTTGCCACAGCAGTTTTGCTGTAGGGGTTGGCCAACCCCTATCCCTTTTCTCTCGGTTCTAACCCTGATTAAAGCATTAAAACCGTCTCGGCACGTATCGAGACGATTCATCATATTATCTGGTTAGTTAAGCGGGTAAGAGACCCCCCAAACTCAACCACCCTCACCCTGTTCGACTTGAGATTTGTGGGGAGAAGGAAAAGGGGCAAAGGGAAAAGCTAATTGTAAGTTTTATCAGGTGCGTCCCACGGAGTCCACCTTAACCTGATTCATTCAACTTTCCACTTTGCTCGCCTCAAACCATCCCCGGCAACTCTCGGTCCCCTGTTTCTCTTCTGATTTCTAATCGGAACCCCGTTACAAGTAATTTTCCTCGGATTCCAAAACTATCTGCTGAATTAACCTTGACATAAAATAAAACTTCAAGTCTTTATTTACCGCAACCTTAAAATGTTTTTATACATATACTCAATTATTAGAACCCGCGACATTCGGCTAAATATGCAGCTCGAGTACCACTTGAGCTTCTTAAAAAACATACACACCTCATTTCGACTCTCCGTTTATTCCAACTGTAAGCCAATCGCGGCTTCATAGAGAAACACATTTTAATGACGATTGTACTACAGTAGGGGGTCTGGGTTGAATCAGCAAATGTGATTGTAGGTTAATAATAATTTTTTATCAAGTTATTCTTAATTGTGTGTGTGCGTGTGAACTCAATGAATATACACAATTTTTTCGAAATTTCGAAAGGCGAAGATAAGCGTTCGAATCCCGCTTGTCACTCAAATTTTTGTGCATAATTAATTAAGTATACGTATAAGTAAGAATAACTTGATAAAATATAATAAAAGTTGTTTTTAAATTGTTTTATTACATAATGCGTCTAAATGCCTCTATTGAAAATTGTTTAGCCCTTTCGAAACTATTAAATAAAAACTTCAAACAGATTTTAGTCTAAATTTGTTGATATACAATTCACAAACAAATATACTTAAAATAATATGATAATAATTATAATAAATAACGGTAAATACAAAAAGCAATAGTTTTGTGGTTGAAAGAGAGAGGGGGGCGAGTTGGAGAGAGAGAGAGAGAGAGAGAGAGAGAGAGAGAGAGAGAGAGAGAGAGAGAGAGAGAGGTGGTGACAGCGAGAGAGAGGGTGAGGTGGGGAGAGAGAGAGAGAGAGTGAGTGAGAAGAAAAACGCAAAATTAGTACAGAAAAATTAAAACATACTTTATCTTTACATTAATGCTGCTTTCCACAAATATAAATAATTGTACCGGAAAGCATGAATTGTCAAATCTTTTATATTACAACAAAATGGATAAAAAATTAAGGTCAATAAACATTAATAATAATTTTTTTTAAACTGGTTACGCTGAGTAAAAAATGTATAAATATACAAATCTTTGGAACTGCCTAAATTTCTGAAATTATTAATATTTCATACATGTAAATGTACTAAATATAGTGTTTAGATGTATTGCTTTTAGATAGGTGTTAGAATAGTTTATTCGGCGTGTTATAATTTCAAAGATTTCTAAAATAATTTATTTTTAACCACATGAAGACACAAATTTTTTAGTTTGTATTGCCTACTTGTGGCTTATTAACAAAAATTTTATAGTGCAATGTCAAATCATTCTTATTTGTTCCTCTTCAGACAGTATTGTCGTAACATAATATCAATTGAGTTAAGGCGAAATAATCTGATCTTAAATTAAGTATTGTAAAAACGCTTAC